AAACGGGACATGCTCGGATTCGCGGAAGCATCGCAGCCACGAGAATTTCCTTTAAATAAAACATCAATCTAAATTCATTCCAGGCGTCTAAGTTAGACTACATCGCCTTACTGATGAATAAGATCTAGTAGTGTGGGACCAGGACGAAACGCCGCGGCCGATCAAAAAAGCTTCGAGTCACTCCTTAGTGGACATAAATATTATTTTCGTAGAGACCGATCTACATATTAATAAAATAAAAAAAAAATAAAATAAATAAAATAAAATAAAATAATATTAATATAATAAAATATAATATAGCGTAAGGCAGTAACACGATCACGTGTATAACTTCCGGAAACCGCAAGGTCCCGAAAGAGAAAGGAATGTTATCAGAATTAATCCGAAGGAGGGATAATCTAAGAAACTCCTTGGAAGGAAAGGGCGTATAACTCACAAGTCGTGATATGCAATATTACTGTTGAGATCTTGTTTATTCAAAGTCTGGTGGACTATATTCTGTACAAAGGAATTGATACTTAGGATCTCTCTCCTTCTGCCCCACTATCGCAATTCAACCAATCCCGAAAGGGTATTGTCGACGGGCCAATCGCAAGGTATGGCCAATTGTGTGCGGTAATGGCGGGTGATCGGAGCGCCGCCAACGATGAGGCGCGAAACCTAAATTTATAATCTATGATTGAAGGAGCTATCTTACAATAGTATGAAATATAAGGTGTAGTAAAAAGAAATCTATTATTTTTGCATTAAATTGAAGGCTTTATTTAGCATAGTTAGAATGATCCGATTTAGGTCAAATATGCACCGTTTTGTTCGATAACTTGTTGCCATTTTGAAGGTAATTTCATTATGCCTCTCTCATAGAAACCCTCGTCCCTATTGGCAAAAAACTGGGACAGTCGATTTTCACAAGCTTCTCTTGAGGCGAATTTTTCACCAGCAAAATCATTCGCCATAGACAGGAACAGGTGGTAATCACTTGGTGCCAGGTCCGGACTATAAGGTGGATGCATAAGAACCTCCCAACCAAGCTCCCGGAGCTTCTGGCGAGTCACTATCGATGTGTGTGGCCTGGCGTTGTCTTGATGGAACACAATTCCTCTCCTATTGGCCAAAGCTGGCCGCTTCTGGGCGATTGCTTCTTTCAGACGGTCCAATTGTTGACAGTACAGGTCCGAATTAAGAGTTTGGCCGTAGGGGAACAGCTCATAGTAGATGATTCCCTGCCAATCCCACCAAACACACAGCAAAACCTTCCTGATCGTCAATCCTGGCTTGGCCACCGTTTGCGCCGGCTCATCGCGATTCGACCACGACCGTTTTCGCTTGAAATTGTCGTAAGTGACCCACTTTTCATCACCAGTAACCATTCGCTTCAGAAATGGGTCGATTTTGTTGCGATTCAGCAGCGATTCGCAGATGGAAATTCGGTCCATGAGGTTTTTTTGCGTTAACTCGT